AGATCCCACAACCTCTGAGGATGCCTGCCATAGATGTGGGTGAAACGTCAGGAGAGAATGCTTCTGGAACATCACCATACAGCAACCCAGTGATTCCGGCCATGAAAGCCTTTGACAACACAGAAAACACACTGTTTTTCCCCAGGCTGCAGCTCCCCGCTTAACCTGGAGATCTATTTGTACATCTCAGGCCTCTTTCTTGAAAGATGCAGTTACCATCCTTCCAAACTGGGGCAGACGCCTTTAAAGCCACTGTTGGCTGCCTTTTGGCCCAGGACAGTGGGAAACTTTTGGAGCTGGATGTCCCTGGGTATTTTCCGGCAAGCTCTACTTTTAGCATCCTTGTTTATACTGGATGATGCCTGCGCCTTCCTCCATCAAAGGGTTTGTAAACATCAACCCCACCCTGGGAGCAGAGCACAACCCTTGCTTTGGCTCTTTGTTTGCCCCACCTGGCTTCCCTCCAGGGAATGAGGGTCTTTGTTCCGACCCCATAATCTGACCCACATGAATTGGGAGATACCGATAACCTAATTAGCTACATGCAAAAGAATACTCTGGAAATGAGAAAATGACTCCATTGGGTTCTGCTCTGTCTTGGCACACAAAAGTGGGATGTGATGGCAAAGTTGTCCTTCACTCAGAGCAGGAAAAACGGTGGAGCCAGCCTTGGCCGAAGCGGAGAATTGAAGAACAATCTCGCTTATTTTGGGAAGGCAGGAGCAGTTCTGTTTCCTGTTTAAAATAAGTAATCCGTTGTTTGAAAACACCTTTTGATTTTAAATGCCCAAGGCATTTTCGAGAATACATTACAAGCCAAACAAGTATTGAATAGAGGATCTGGAGGACCAGTATCTGTGGTCTCACGTATCCAAGTCTGACAAATTGTTACTCCTCTAGACATTTTAGAAGTCCTTCAGCATAGAATCATAGAATCAAAGAGTTGGAAGAGACCTCATGGGCCATCCAGTCCAACCCCTTGCCAAGAAGCAGGAATATTGCATTCAAATCACCCCTGACAGATGGCCATCCAGCCTCTGCTTAAAAGCTTCCAAAGAAGGAGCCTCCACCACACTCCGGGGCAGAGAGTTCCACTGCTGAACGGCTCTCACAGTCAGGAAGTTCTTCCTCATGTTCAGATGGAATCTCCTCTCTTGTAGTTTGAAGCCATTGTTCCGCATCCTAGTCTCCAAGGAAGCAGAAAACAAGCTTGCTCCCTCCTCCCTGTGGCTTCCTCTCACATATTTATACATGGCTATCATATCTCCTCTCATCCTTCTCTTCTTCAGGCTAAACATGCCCAGCTCCTTAAGCCACTCCTCGTAGGGCTTGTTCTCCAGACCCTTGATCATTTTAGTCGCCCTCCTCTGGACACATTCCAGCTTGTCAATATCTCTCTTGAATTGTGGTGCCCAGAATTGGACACAATATTCCAGGTGTGGTCTAACCAAAGCGGAATAGAGGGGTAGCATGACTTCCCTAGATCTAGACACTATGCTCCTATTGATGCAGGCCAAAATCCCATTGGCTTTTTTTGCCGCCACATCACATTGTTGGCTCATGTTTAACTTGTTGTCCACGAGGACTCCAAGATCTTTTTCACACGTACTGCTCTCGAGCCCCCATTCTGTATCTTTGCATTTCGTTTTTTTCCTGCCAAAGTGGAGTATCTTGCATTTGTCACTGTTGAACTTCATTTTGTTAGTTGTGGCCCATCTCTCTAATCTGTCAAGATCGTTTTGAATTCTGCTCCTGTCCTCTGGAGTATTGGCTATCCCTCCCAATTTGGTGTCGTCTGCAAACTTGATGATCATGCCTTCTAACCCTTCATCTAAGTCATTAACAAAGATGTTGAACAGGCTTTACATCTATGATTTTCTTGGGCCAGAGGTCCTTCATTTCAACATTGTTTACTATAATCATCATCATCATCATCATCATCATCATCATTTAATAATAATATGGAGCCCCCGGTGGCGCAGTGGGTTAAACCCCTGTGCCGGCAGGACTGAAGACCGACAGGTCGCAGGTTCGAATCCGGGGAGAGGCGGATGAGCTCCCTCTATCAGCTCCAGCTCCTCATGTGGGGACATGAGAGAAGCCTCCCACAAGGATGATAAAAAAAACATCAAATCATCCAGGCGTCCCCTGGGCAACGTCCTTGCAGACGGCCAATTCTCTCACACCAGAAGCGGCCTGCAGTTTCTCAAGTCGCTTCTGACACGACAAAAATAAATAAATAATAATCATGATAATAAAAAATATTAACCTAATAATAATAATAATAATAATCACTAATTCATTTCAACAGTGTTTACTATAATAATAATAATAATAATAATAATAATTTAATAATAATAATTAACCTAATAATCTAATATTATTAATAATATTCTAATAACAATAACAACAACAATAATAAGGATTTAAAGATCGAACTGCAAAGACTCTGGCACAAGCTAGTCAAGGTAGCCCAGTGGTGATTGGCACAGAGTTTTGGAGGACAAGATTACTGACCTCACAATAATACCGTATATTCTGGTGTATAAGACTACTTTCTAACCCAACAAAATCTTCTCAAAAGTCAGGGGTCGTCTTATACGCGGGGGTTGTCTCATATGCAGGAGTAGTCTTATACATGGGGGTCATCTTATACGCTGAAGCAGCCTTATGTATGGGGGTTGTCTTATAGGCGGGAGTAGTCTTTTACGCCGGGAGTCGTCTTATAGAGCGGGTGCTGAAACTTCCAATCCGGATTGGAGAATCTGTGGTTGCTGCATATTGTGGGGGAGCTCAAAAATGGCAGTGGCTGCGTCCGTGCCGTATGCAGCAACTGAATGAAAGCGTTAAGGAAGATGCTGTACAAGTATGGTAGAAGAAAATCCATTCATCAGGATTCGTGAACTTAATGCTGTCCCGATGGTGAGTTGAAGGGGCGCCTCACTGGGAAGGTGTAAGTGAAGGGTGGAGCAAGCTGCAGGCATCCAGGGCACCCGGGGTATGGAAAAGAGAGAGAGTGGCTCTGCGCCCAGAAAAACACAACTCTTTTACCTCTGCACCGCCCTTGTATCCTATTACTATACCTCCTCCTCTGCCTCTCAGATCTCGCTCCTGAAGACTGCAATGAAGCGGTGCAGGTGCGCATGTGCGAGATCTGAGAGGCAGAGAAGGAGGTACAGTAATAGGAAAATTACCATATTGAAATCAAATCTGATGCCTTTTAAATTTTTATTTAGTGTGCGTTGGAAGAGGGGTAGTCTTATACGGCGAGTATATCCCAAACTCTATATTTCAACTGGAAAAGTTGGGGGTCGTCTTATATGCCGGAATATGCGGTTAATAATTTAACTACTCTAGGACTTCTGAATTGAGACTGACAGAGTTTTGGAGGACAAGATTACTGACCTCACAATTTCGGGAAAAAAACAAGTATGGATCGCTGATGTTGCAATCCCAGGTGACAGCAGTATTGACGAGATGCAACTGGAAAAGCTTACACAATATGAGGATTTAAAGATAGAACTGCAAAGACTGGCACAAGCCAGAAAAGGTAGTGCCAGTAGTGATCGGCACACTAGGTGCAGTGCCTAAAGACCTTGGCCTGCACTTAGAAACAATTGGCGCTGACAAGATTACCATCTACAGCTGCAAAAGGCCACCTTACTAGGATCTGCACACATTATTCACCTATACATCACACAGTCCTAGACACTTGGGAAGTGTCTGATGTGTGATCCGATACAACAACCAGGAGAGTGTCTGCTGTGGACTCATCTTGTTGTGTTTCTAATAATAATAATAATTTGTCAGCTGCAAAAGGCCACCCTACTGGGATCTGCATGCATTATTCGCCGATACATCACATAGTCCTAGACACTTGGGAAGTGTCCGACGTGTGATCCAATACAACAACCAGCATTGTGATATTGTTTGCTGTGTACTAATCTTGTTGTGTTTCAAATAATAATAATAATAATAATAATAATAATAATAATAAATCACACAGTCCTAGATGCTTGGGAAGTGTTCGACTTGTGATACGAAATCCAGCATATATATTTTGTTTGCTGTGACATACTGTAGTTTTGTGTCAGTAAAATAATAATAATAATAATAATAATAACAATAATAATAATAATTCTTACCCACCCCCCTCATGGCAGTTCCTTGTATTCATGTAAAGCTTAGGAATTGATCCCTCATGGACATGAGGGTTGTTGTGCTATTGTGTCCAAACAGGCATGTAGCCGGGGGGGGGGGGGGGGGGGTTGAGGGGCTTCAGCCCCACCCCTGAAATTCTCATGGTGGTCCGCGAAAAGGCCTTACTGGTGCATTATTTAAACTGTTATGTTTATTCATATCATGATCTGATCACCATACTCAATATATCCCATATGCATGGGGGTATTGGGGTAATAATACAAAAGGTTTGCTAGGCTAGACCCTCTTTCACTCAGACTCAGCCCCCCCCCCCAAACTCAGCCCCCCCGAAACCCCCCCTGAAATTTTTTTAGCCCCCCCCCCCCAAACGAAATCCTGGCTACGGGCCTGTGTCCAAAGGTGGGATATGACACAAACATAATCAATAAAGAATAGACAAAGGCCCCTTCTACACTGCCATATAAAATCCAGATTATCTGCTTTGAACTGGATTATATGGCAGTGTAGATTTATATAATCCAGTTCAAAGCGGATCTGGATTATCTGATAGGATCTGGATTATATGACCATATAGAAAGGGCTTAAGACATTCTGGCATGTAATACCTGTGTTCAAAAGTTCAGGACAGGACTGTTCAACTTTGGCCTTCACATGTTTTAACCTTAATGCCCACTAGCTCTAGCCAACATAGCCATCGACGAGGCCCTATGGGAACTGGAATCGCACTCTCACCTAGCCCTAGTTTAGATGGGGACTGTATAGTGTCGTAAGGCAACTATGGAAGACACAGCCCATTTCATTGCTCTTTTCTCTGACTATGGCCTTCTCTCCCCACTCAGGTTCCTGTGTGCTCACTTGCCCAACCAAGTCCTGGAGAGCATCAGCCTTATAGACACTCCAGGGATCCTATCAGGTGCAAAGCAACGCGTGAGTCGAGGTAAGGTGACGTTGCATGGAATGGGAATTGGCGTCAGCCTGGATCCATTTTCCCTTGTCTGACCCATATCCTTTGCCCACCAACATTCCATTTTCCGTCCTAAACATGCAACTGTTGTCAAAATCCCAGGCTCAGCTAGTCTCTCAGACGTGGCCCAACCAATCAGCTTAGTGCTTTGAATTTTGCAATTAACACATTGAATGTTTCAATTACATGCTCCAACGGCACTGATACATTGGTCTGACCCATATCCTTTTGACGTTCTTATTTCCAGAGTTTGGAAAAGTTACTCTTTTGGATGACACCTCGCAGTCCGCCATGCTGGGAGTTGTCCCAAAGAGGAAGCTGTCCAAGCTCTGCTCCTTTCGTGTCGGCACCTGTACCAGAAGGCTGGTTCTTCTTCCCTTTGCATAGATCCCTGGGTGTTCTCTGGCCCTTGGCCAGACCTCAATATATCAAGACCCATTGTGTTCCTGCCGGCCAAGGTCTGGGCCGGTAAATATTGATTCAGTCTCTCGGAGGCTGATTTCAAAGGAAACAAAGAGTGCGGAGATTCATTTCAAAACAAAGGAAGCAGCTGAAGGGGGGAGCGCAGGACAATGAGGAGACCGAATGACAGGGAGGGCAGCAGAGCCATGGATTAAGGTTACCAGTTTCCCCCTTGATGCTGCTCCTGTGCCCTTAGTAGCCACTTGATATGCAAAATGCAATCTAATTGAGTTTCCTGATAAAGCCGTTAACCTTCCAACTGTCTCAATTTGTCAAGGAAAGTCCCAGTTTATGCTCTGTTATCCTACCTTTTGAACAGCGTTTAAAATGCCCCGGTTTGTCTTTTGGACCTATTTCAATGGTTGCAAGTTCAATTTCAACAGAAAGGAAGAAACCATGAAAATGAGCAAAATTTGGCGACCAGTATTTGAAAACTCTAAAATCAGGATAGTAAACAAAGAGCCATGCTCAAACAACAGAGGAGTTCTTGACATGAAACAATCAGGGCCAGCTAATCACCTCCCAACAAAGGATTCCCTCAGGAAGGAAGCAGCCAGGTTTGAAGCTGCAAGGCCATTCAATGCTAAATCAAAGTGATCAATTGCAACATTTATAAAGAGTTCTTTCTCCCACCCTGGACATTTCACAGATATATAAACTCCGCTTGCTTTGTTTCCGATAGACCTCACAACCTCTGAGGATGGCTGCCATAGATATGGGCAAAATGTCAGGAGAGAATGCTTCTGGAACATGGCCATTCAGCCCGCAAAACTCACAGCAACCCTGTGATTCTGGCCATGAAAGCCTTCAACAACATTCATAAAGAGTTCTTTCTCCCTCCCTGGACATTTCACATATATATAAACCATACTTGCCTTATTTCCAGTAGACCTCACAACCTCTGAGGATGCCTGCCATAGATGTGGGTGAAATGTCAGGAGAGAATGCTTCTGGAACATGGCCTTTAAGCCTGGAAAACTCACAGCAACCCTGTGATTCCGGCCATGAAAGCCTTCGGAAACACAAAAGAAAGGTTCCTGGATAATTCTAAAAAACAGGGAATTCCAGACTGGAAATAATCAGGGCGAGCTAATACCTCCCAACAAAAGATCCCCCAAGCAGGAAGCAGACAGGCTTTGAAGCTGCAAGGCCATTCAATGCTAAATCAAGGTGATAAATTACAACATTTATAAAGAGTTCTTTCTCCCACCCTGGACATTCCATAGATATATAAACCCCCACTTGCTTTGTTTCCGATAGACCTCACAACTTCTGAGGATGCCTGCCATAGATATGGGCGAAATGTCAGGACAGAATGCTTCTGGAACATGACCATTCAGCCCGGAAAACTCACAGCAACCCTGTGATTCCGGCCATGAAAGCCTTTGACAACACAAAAGAAAAGTTCCTGGACAATACTCAAAAAATAGGGAAACAATCAGGGCCAGCTAGCACCTCCCAACAAAAGATATCCCCAGGCAGGAAGCAGCCAGGCTTTGAAGCTGCAAGGTCATTCAATGCTAATCAAGGTGGCCCATAGGAGTCCCCAGTGGCACAATGGGTTAAACTCTTGTGCTAGCAGGACTGAATACCCACAGGTCGGAGGTTCGAATCTAGGCACAGAACAGATGAGCTCCCTCTGTCAGCTCCAGCTCCCCATATGTGGACATGAGAGAAGTCTCCCACAATGATGGTAAAACATCAACACATCTGGGTGTCCTCTGGCCAACATCCTTGCAGACAGCCAATTCTCTTACACCAGAAGCAACTTGCAGTTTCTCAAGTCACTCCTGACACACACACACACAAAAGGTGGCCAATTGCAACATTCACATGTGCCTCAAGCAGACAAGAGTTCTTTCTCCCACCCTGGACTTTATTCCACAGATATATAATCCTCACTGCCCTAGTTTCCAGCAGACCTCACAACCTCTGGGATCCCTGCCATAGATGAGGGTGAAACGTCAGAAGAGAATGCTTCTGGAACATGGCCAGACAGCCTGGAAAACTCACCGCTACCCAGTGATTCTGGACATGAAAGCCTTCGACAACTCATTAATAACTTCAGGATTTTTTTTAAAAAAAATCATTCTCATTAACTCAGAGGAAGAGGAGACATCCTGCCCTTCCCTGTAAGCTCAGGCAAAAGCATGCTGCTGCATCTCCTCTTAGCTTGGGTATTCTTCCTCCTTAATAACATTTGCAATTTCGACCATTTTCTGGTTTTTCTTAATAACTACATTTATTTATTTATTAACAGTATATTTATATTCCACCTATTTATTTATTTATTTGCAGTATTTATATTCCTCCCTTCTCACCCCACAGATCACAATATACATATACATGGCAAATATTCAATGCCATAGACACACAACATATATAGACAGACACACAGAGGCTATTTAACTTTCTAGCTTCATGAGGGTATGCTCGAATTCTGGCCACTGGGGGAGCTGTCGCTTCACCATCCACTTGTGACACCGATGGAGTACTTCCTCATTCTTTTGCACGCTGCTGGAGATTTTTTTTTGGTGTCGTAAATTAGTTAAATGAGCCTCCCCGCATAAGCGGTACTTAACTTTCCTACTTGATGGAAACTGTCTTTCGGGCTGCAAAGGTCGACAGCAAGCTAGACAAATGGTTGGGAGCTTACTCCGACCCGGGCTGGCTTCAAACTCATGACTTTTCGGTCAGTGGTGATTTAATGCAGCTGACTCCTAGCCAACTGCGCCACAACCTGGTCCTGTTATACATTTGTGAAAAGATAGGAAAACTACATTTCAGGCTGCTGTCAAAGGAAATGGGTGAGTTCACAACATGCACAGGCAACACTCATGTACACACTCTGATTCTGTGAACAGAAAAATAGGTTAGAGAGGCTTAGGTTTTAGTGCAAAGTCAGATCTGATAGAGCAGGCAAGGGGAAACTTGGATCCTCCAGTTGGCTGAGCATGCCAGGAGCCATAATACTGATTGGCTACTGTCTCTAACTTGTTGTTGAGAGAAACGGTTTTAACTGCCATTTTCACCTCGGAGAGTGGAGAGAGCGCTGACTGGAAACAGCCAGGAAGGAAATGGCTGGCAACTCTCTGAAGCCTGACCATTTCTAAGATTGTTTATAAGGACTGTTTATTCCCTCTGTTCTCTGTAAAAATTCAGAGAGACGGCTGTATAAATTGTTGCTCTGTTGGACCTTTTGAACTGAAGTTACTGTTACTCATTACACAAATCTGAGTTGTTGTTGTTGTTGTTGTGTCAGGAGCAACTTGAGAAACTGCAAGTCGCTTCTGGTATGAGAGAATTGGCCGTCTTCAAGGACATTGCCCGGGGGACGCCTGGATGATTTTTGTTTTTGTCATCCTTGTGGGAGGCTTCTCTCATGTCCCTGCATGAGGAGCTGGAGCTGATAGAGGGAGCTCATCCGCCTTTCTCCGGATTTGAACCTGCGACCTGTCGGTCTTCAGTCCTGCCGGCACAGGGGTTTAACCCACTGCGCCAATGGGGGCTCCACACAAATCTGAGTGACACATTATTATACTGCAGGGTATATTTTGGTTCAGAAGCAGTGGTAAAGTTTATGTTTATTTACATTCACAACCTACAACAAACTTGGGCCCTCCAGGTGTTTTGGACTTCAACTCCCACAATTCCTAACAGCTTCAGGCCTTTTCCTCCTCAGCCAAGGCAAAGGAAAAGGCCTGAGGCTGCTAGGAATTGTGGGAGTTGTAGTCCAAAGCACCTGGAGGGCCCAAGTTTGCCCATGACTGTGATAGAGCTTGCAACTATTCTCATTTTGGTAACAGCCAGCATAGTGGGGGATTTTGGGAGCTATGATCCCAAAATATAATTTTCCCAGGTTGTATAAAAGCCACACATACACACACAATGCACAACATGCAAGCAAAGCATCAGCGCAAGTAGGAACAAATAGTTACAAAGGCAACGACTGAGTGGGATCAAAATGGACTTGAGGGAGAAAGCCAGAGATCAAGCAGTTTTGAGATGAGATGTTCACATTCCTCGGTTTGTGAAGAGCAGCTCTTGAGCTTCGACATAAGTGCTCTTCCTGAGATAAGTGCCAAGGAATTCCAAACATGTTTTGGTGGCATGGGCACAAAACAATCCCATGAAGTCAACACATTTAGGATCTCAGAACAGCCACGGTGAGAGTTTGCCCACATATTATGATAATACCAACAACCCTATATGAAGCAGGGTTGGCCCTTGACTGAAGTCATCTGAGTGCATTGTATGGCTTGGCAGGAATTTGGTATGAGTTGTATTCGTCGGCTGATACCATACGCTCGCTGGCTGTTTGGTTAGGCTCAACCACACTGTTTCTCAACGTTCCTAATACCGTGACCCCTTAATACAGTTCCTCATGTTGTGGTGACCCCCAACCATAACATTATTTTCGTTGCTACTCCATAACAGTAATTTTGCTACTGTTATGAATCATAATGTAAATATCTGATAATGCAGGATGCATTTTCATTCACCGGACCACA